CCGTGCTTGGCCATGTGGGAGTACAGCACCTAAACCACTATGCCACCTGCTGGCCCCAGTTTTTGTTTTTTGATAGACTTAACAAAACCTTTTTATCCTTTGAATTTAAATGATGATTTTCCTTTCTCCTAATTTTGTGTGAGTTCGCATGTCCTCACTAGAGAGGGAGAAAGCATCCTTCCATGGGGCATGGTCACACTGCAATTCCGTCTCTTCCATTTCTCCATCCTGCCATGATTGGGGGGCACGTACACACACAAACTGTGTGTTTCTCAAGCTGCCTAATCTGGGACTTGAACTGCAAGGTCAACCATGTAGGATCTAGCTCCCTTAATCACCAGGCTATGAGGCCATCCCCTAAATTGTGATTTTTTTTTTTTTTTTGGAGAGATTTTCACTGTAGGGCGCGTGCGCTCGCCAGACAGACAGAGAGAGACATAGAGACAGAAAGCGAGAAATCACCCCCCAGGGGGGATGGTCACGCCGCAATCCCTTCTCCTCCATTCTCCTCTCGGGATCTTGGGCACGCACGCACACCCACCCAGCGTGGGTTTTAAGCCACCGGGTCCAGGACATGAACCGCGGTCGACTACGTGGGAATCCAGCGACATAGCCATTACGCTAACTGCTGGTTCCCGTGATTTTTAAGAAAAGTTTATTACTTCCAAAAGAGGGGGGTGCCTCACCAGGGTTTTCATGTGGCGGTATACCCCCAGCCTCAGCTAGTCTGGATCATGGGCACATGTGCCTGCCAAGTACTTGGAGAGCACTGTGTTACCACTGTGCCACCATTTGGCCCCTTTCTGAAATCCGAAAGACTAGGTTTGTTTTAATTTGCTTTTAGTTACCTAGGAATGAGAAGACTGGAATTTAGGGAGAAAGTTGAGTGAAAGATGTTTTTTCAAACTTTTGTGACCTTATGATGTAATACTAAATATTCAGTCTTTGCAAGGCCACTGTTAAACTAACGCTTTGGGCCAGCAGGTGGCATGGGAAGTTGAGACAGCTGGATCCCACATACCTGATTGAGTGGATTGAGGTCTGGACTTGGCAGCTTGAAAATCACCCTAGCCATGTATGTGTGTGTGCCCAAAATGCAGAGAGAAGAATGGAGGAGAGGGGATTGTGGAATGGGCCATCCCCTTGGAGAGTTATTTCTCACTTTTTCTCTGCCTCTGTCTCTTTCTAGGGAGCACATGCGCCCTATAGCAAACAAACAAAACCTAACCTCTTAACATTTTTGGCTATAGATTATATTGCCTTCTGTCATTTTGATGCTCTTAAAGGAATAATTATCAGTTTTCTTCCCTCAATTTAAAAAAGATTCATCCTATGTTATATATTTGTTTTTTATTGTGAACTGTATATGACATCAAATCTAACATTTTAATCATTTTTAAGTGTATATTAAATTTAAATTTAGTCACACTGTGGTGTTGTCCATGACCACTGTCCATCTCCAGAACTTTTACATCATACCAAACTGAAACTCTGTACTTACTAAATAACTTCCATTTCCCCTACCCCCACTCCACCTCTGTTCCATTCTCTGTCTATAAGAATTTGCCTATTCTTGGTACTTTATATAAATGGAAGCATACAATTTTTGTCTTTTTTTTTTTTTTTTGAGAGAGATTTTCACTGTAGGGCGCGTGCGCTCGCCAGACAAACAGAGAGTGACATAGAGACAGAAAGCGAGAAATCACACCCCAGGGGGGATGGTC